TAAGGTCTACATCACAGTTGTATTACCTGTTAAACTTATTTAAACATACAGTAGTAAAATGAGCCATAAATTTTATTCAGTATTCATGGCACCTGACTCATTTTTTATTTGGAATACCTAAAATCGTGACATCCATCATAGTTTTAAATCTTGCTTAAAAATACGCTCAACATCACTGCACAAATACAAAATGATTCAAAACATTTGCTTGGACACGGTTACAATTGCTGTAGTGAATATTCATAGGTGATATTAAGTCAGAAAGAACAGAACAGATCAGTACAAATTTCATGACCCTCATTTCTTGGAATTATGTCTTATTTTGATATTTCTTTAATTTTTATTTTTTCAGTTTTACTGTTTGTGTTTATTACATTTGTTAATCTCTTTACCTTACTAAATCCTCTGATTATTTACTTGTGTAATATAGTTACTATTATTATATTATTTAATTAAATACCATTACTACCATCAGTTTCGCAAGCGATTCAATTGACACTAAGGATCTGTAAACTTGATCGGAGAGATAAACCTGCATTTTTTACCCAGATATTTTTGACATACTGTAATAATTGTTGTATTTAATTGGTGTATGATAGAATGCTGTGGCCTTGTCCTGACGTTTGTGACTGGTATAGAACTTATTTTCATGAGTTGTGTGTATGATAACATAACTCACTAATGTCAGTGCACAACCATAGGCTTCTGTTATTATTACATATGTTCGAAGACTTCAAGTAAATTATGTCTTCCACAATTGTCATACAAGTGCGCGCAATGAAAGTCACCTATTTTAAATTCTGTTCAGTGATTGGCTAATTCCATAATTGTTATAATTTGATTTATCTCACACTACTTTTATATGTCAAATGCTACAAACAAAATGTATCTACCGGTAATAATACACCTTCAATAATTACCTTTTTTGCTTGCTTTATCTTTCAATTCCTTTATAAAACGATCGCATCACTCTTGACGACGTCTTGAGATCATTTTCCAAAATAGGAATTTTCATTTCTGTGAAATTTGCATCAATCAAATCAGAATGGTTGAGCAACAAATGAGAATATCATTAATTGAGTCACCAAATAACTTTTAACATCGTATATTTTATCGAACAGATGTGTGGTCACTGGATATTTCTTAAATGATTTGGGCAATCCATCAATCAGAGAGTCTAAGGTGAAGACATAATTATGATTTAACCAAGTAGAATATCTGCTGAATACTTGGTCTATGTCTTCGTGTGTGTGTCCTACCATAAGAAATGATATCTGAAAAAAAAAAAATATTCTGTTACTTAAAATTATCTTACTAACATCAGCTAGGTATGAGATATGTTTTACTTTTTGTAAATGGGTAATTGTGAACTATTGAATAAAGCTATGATAACAGTGAGAAATAACTGACGAAAACCTACGATCAAAGCGAATAAACAGCTCCGGTCCCTGGCATGATACACATTGCTATGCGATTTTACATTGGTGCAGTTTGGGCTGTCCCTACATATACATTTGGTTATGTAATTGTAATTTTCACAAAAACTAGGTACATCTGCATTTCTTCTATACCAAAGAAACAATAAATAGGAAATAAATGTTACACTGAATTATATTAGTAATATAATGGTGCACATACCTTATCAAACACGTACAATTCCACAAGAAGACAGCAAAGAGCCAACAACCACCTATTTTTATTTTCCCTGGAAGTGTTGTCTAACTGCAGGTATAACGTTTTTGGTAAATTACTACCCAACTGCTTCAGTGCTAACATCGAAATACTTTATTTTCGCTGGAATTAATTTTCGCTGAAAAACCTTTTAAGGTGTTCTGTGTGGAATTTATTTTCACTGATTTTTGGCAAGTTGAATGTAAAATATATGAAAAACGTATATTCGTTGGATTTTATTTTCACTTAATCATTCCTTCGGCGGAAATAGCGAAAATGAATTATTTTACAGTATTGCATGTTAGGTTACTCTTATGGGGCCACTGGAATAAGTCAAAATATCCAAGTAGCCAGTGTCCATGTGCAATTATATACTCCTGTCAAGTGGGTCTTTAATTTCCACATTGTTGATGTTGTTTTGGAAATACTTGTGAAATGTGGCATATTTGTTTTATCAGAATCCATTCCATCCATAATAATAATAATTGAGACATATTTGTCTGGATGATTCTTGTCTTTTTGAATATGTTTGTAATACTTGAACTCTTCAGCACTAAAAATGTCAGACACAAGTGTGCAATATTTAATCATTCACATAGCTGAAAATTATTAAAATAAAAGAAAGTGACGAGAAACGATAGTCTTACTTCTGTCTTTTCAAATGCTTCTCCTCCTACAAGCATATCAAATTATGTTTTTGCTTGCTTATATTTCAGATAATAAAATCACTAGAACTAACATTCCAGGTGGCATTATACAGTATCACAAATCACAATATTTAGAGTCTCTGAAAAAGAATTGAAGCAAACTGTGAGTTACCATAATCAATCCCATATATCATAGCAATTCAGATTAAAAGCAGTGTAATAGTGTTACAGGCTCGGAATTAATGAAAATTAAAAGAAATTAATTAATCTGAAACTATACAGTCATTATGTTGATACCTCACACACAGATGGACAAATACGTACACCAATCCACCAGCTAACAAACAACTAATCGACTGACTGACAAAGCAGCCAAAATTGAAGCCAATGAGACTAAAAAGATACAAATATAATTAAAAATATATCTTTCTCAAGATGGCAGATATATATTGTTTGAATCATGTCTTTATAACCAACATTTGCTCATAGTTTATCTGTATTTTGACTAAACTAAATTCATTGAACCTAATAAATTTACATAATTATAAATAGTTCAAAGCAATATACAATATACATTTCATTTCTTTCAGCCTTTCTTTAGTCTTCAAGGGCTTGATGAGATACAAAAACAGTTGAATAGAGTAGTAAAACTAGAAATCACTATGAAGGAGGCTGCTAAGGAGAC